TATTATCATTTAAAAATGAGATATATGACATATTGAAATAATTTTTAAATAATAAAAAAAAATATAAGTAAAAAAATTTTTTAAATGTGTAGAAAAATAATAATAATAAATATAAAAATACCATGATTGGATACCAATAAATTTCATGATGAATCATGAAAAATACATGATTACATAATTTAGGGCAGTGGATATAAATGGATATAAATTCAAATCGTTTGAAAGTATACGACAATTGGCTTTATTTTGACGCGAATTCGTCAATTAAGGAATAAAAATTAAATACGAGTTTGAATTACATATGTTTCATAAATGTACGCATACGTATATATGATATAAGATCGACATTTAATAATAAAATATAGTCAGACAAAATATCGCAACAAAATAATGAAGTTGTTTATTTATGATTTTTTGCTGCAGTATTGCATATTAATTCTGTCAATCTTGATTTTATTCTATCGAATATATGTTATCGAATGATATTTTTTATATCGACTAGTGCATCTGACAAATCGAAATTTTTCTAATTGAAGATATTTTGAAAAAAGATAAAAGTACAAAAAAGTTAAACTACAAAGTTAATATATGATTAATAGTATTTTCAAATTTCATTTATTGACAGACATATGAAGCAATCGACTATTTTTTTTCGCATATAAAATATATAGTCTCTACTACTAACAAGATTAGCATATTAAATATATATATCGGCGATTGAGACAACAGTTTTTGTTTTTTATTCTTTTTTCCAATGATTTCCTTTTCGCGGGAAATCGAAAGGAAATTCACAGTCGAAGAATTTCATATATTAAAAGGTATTTACATCTGTGCGTGCAAGAAGTATCAAAGTAATATATTAACAGAATTAATAGCTATGTCTGCGGTGCAAAAATTTATCTTATTTAATTTAATCGTATTTAAATGAATAACGTACAAAGCGAAGAATCGGCACAGTTTGGCAATAATAATGATAGTAATAAAAATAATAATATTAATAATACCGAATACCAAAAGAACTTCTTTCTCCATACATAGAATATAGAAAAAGAAAAAATTTCTATAATTTCATTTTTATACGCCAATTATGTAATTGACGTCACACGTAAAAGCGTATATCATTTTTACATCGCAATGATTTCTTACAATAGAAATGTCCGTGCTTAATTATTTCCATTTAATCGTTTGTAACAATTAAAATATGTTTCATTTTTAACATTATGGGATACAATAAGCACGGACATTGATATAGAAATTCTTGTGATGATCTTTTTTTGAATTACAATAAATTATGCTTGTTGTTATTTTCATTTTTTTCTGTCACTGCATTAAATAAAATAAAATAGCAAAACTATATATTGTCTGTATAACGAATAAATGTGATTAGTTCATGTAATTTCATCATGATCGTGATGCAAAACAAAAAAAAAAAGTGGCAAAAATTTCGATAATATGCCTTAATTATATTCATACCTACATATCATACACGCGTTAGTAAATATAATATAAATCCTGTCAATAATAATAATGCTCAAAAACTTAACAAAACAAGCTTTCTTCTTTCTTTATAAACGATCGCGACACTATGCAGAGTCCAGCAGTGCCAAGGTCTGCGTTCTCAGCACGACTAACGCTGCAGGCAGTGACGGTGGCTACCTAATCCGTATTAATATTACATTAAATTCTATATTATTTAATAATATGTATATATATACAGGATATATCCGTACACACCAGGTCAAACTCTAAATCTTTTTTTTTTTTTTAAATAATTACGGCAATGACGAATGAATTGCGAAAAGAATATCAACAAACGTAATGTTAAAAAAAGTATATTAGACAAATTGATAATCACACTAAATCCTACACATATCTTCATTCGTTTCCTTCCATTGAAAATTCCAAGTTGTATTGTAAAACCTCCTATCGATTTCCCGTGAATGAAAAACCATTTATCCTGTCTGTAATCAAATCGCAATTGGTAAAAACGATTCGCGTCCGTACAATTCATTTTACGACTACGACAATTTATGAAAATAGACATGATTACATTCTTAAACGATGTCGATGATACATGTATCAATCCACAAAAACTGGCATTCTTCGTGTTCTACGATAAAATAGCAAAATGAACACGAATATTGTTGAGATAATCCGAATCTTTTTTTTTTTTTTTTTTTTTT